GCCAGCTCAAGCTTGGCAAGCACGGCTCTGGCAGGTCTTGCTTTCGTCCATTCCCTCTGCCTTGCTAAAAAAATAAATAAATAAATAAATAAAAAAAATGCTAGATTAAATTCCTAAAGTGAGCCACCAACGTCTATTCCCTTATTAAACCACTTCCCTATGGCTTTAAAACAAAGGAGAGAAAAACCATGGAGGCAAATGGCTTCCAATTTGGCCTCCAAGAACTCTGATGCCAAGGTGACTTTTTAAAAAGCACTGTTTGCTTGTCAATGTAACATCTGATATCTCAAACAGAGAACCTAGTCAAGCCAGTTTGCTCTTGTGGTGATGTCTCTGAAGGCTTTTTTGCATTCACTACACTGGTAGGGTTTTTCTTCATTGTGGATTCTGATATGCGCTTTCTGTGTCTATTGTTGAACATCTGTTTACATGCCGATTAATCGTTTATCACTGGTTGTGTGAAAGTGATGGTCTTTTTCTGGCTTTTCTATTAACATCTTTTATTACTAAACAGCATGGCCCTTAAAACTTAGAGAACTATCAAAATTTTAAATGTATATTACTTTTTGTCAGTTTGTGTGTCATATTTACACAACAAATATATTTAAAACACTGTAAAAACATAATTTAATTATTGATAGTATAAAGCATACTTTCTTATGGAAATGGGTATATTGACAGTACTGTGAAGAGTCTATAAAGAGTTTAAAGTTTCAAAGTCATTTTTAATAAAATTAAGCTTTAAAAAGAAAAAACAAAACCATTTCCTCCTCCTGAGGCTGATTACCAAGGTCCAGCTATCAGGTATTGAAGTCCAGCAAACAAAGGACCCCTTCAGTTCACTTAATTAACATGCCCAATTAAAATTAAATGCCTCATCCTAACAAAAGGTTTTCCATTTTTCCTTTATAAACTGCCATTTGCCTAAGGGCCACATCTGTCTCCTATCTATCTATCCAGAGGCAGTCTTTGTCCCTTATTCCCTGCCCTTTTTCCGCTCTGGGGAAATAAATCTCCTTTGTGCTTAGACCTTGGTCTTGGTGTGTCCTCAGCTGGTACTGTTCCTTTCATTTAGTAAGTTGCAATTTTGTTTGTTGAAAATATATTTTAATTCCTGCTTTTTTTTTTTTTTTTTTTGGTGTGGCAAATTACTCCATAGTCCTAGGGTTACAAGTTACCAGGAAACTTGTGAAACACAGAACAGAGAACATGGGATGAGAGCACAGTAGGAATATGGCCATCCATGTGAGCAGGATGTGGGGGTGTTTAAAGTGACCTCACCCAGATGGATGATAAGTCAGCATGTTTCAAAGAAGCTTTCTGGACTATTTAATACTGAAGCAAGGGGTAGTATGAAATGAATATATCAAATAAGACATTGAATTCAAAGACACAATATTTTCCATTTCAATGTTTTACATATTCTCTAGAAAATTAATGTCATTGACTACATTTTTTTTCACTCTTAGAGTCTATGAAGGATTGAAAAAGGAAATATGGGTCTACACTTGCTTGGGAAACAGGACTGAAATACAAAGAACTCATTGCAATGTGTAAAAACCAAAAACACTATGTGTAGAACCAAAACGTCAATAGAAAAATAATGTGTTCTTGACATTTCTTCTCACATCTGGCTATACACAACAAGAGCCCATTGCTGCCAGGTATGTGGCTTACAGAGGATGTGAAACACCACTTGTGATGTCAGTATGGTCAGAGGTGCCATTTGCTATTTGGCTAAAATACGGCCTGAGTTATGTGTGAACTACTTCACCTATGATTTTGAGTCAATGACTCAAACTACTTTAAAGATTTATTGAAAATGTTTTTAAAATATTTTTTTAATTGTGTGTGTCCTTGTGTATGTACATGTACACATTAGTGCAGGTAACCTCCTCAGAGGCCAGTAGAGGACATTGGATCCCCTGGTGCTTGAGTTACAGGTAGTTGTAAGCAGGCTGACATACTGGAAATTGAAGTCAGGTCCTCTGGAAGAGCAAAAATCACTCAACCACTGAGTCATCTCTAATCCCTTAATCCAAATATTAAACACTGTATTACACTGGTGATTGATGATTTCTTAACTATTTGTTTAAATACATAAGATCTACTATATTCACATTGTTGAACTTCCATTATGCATAAAGTTTGTATTGTCATATACATGAATTTTGAAAATATTAAAATATTTCAAAATTGAAAAAAAATGTGCGTCTTTTTTCATGGTGGATATAATTTTTAAAGTAATTTCTGAATTATCATTACAACTAGGTACAGAATGAAGTAATTATTCTTTATAAACTTGAAATACCAATGTACACAGATAAGATTTAAGGGGGATTAATAAAAGATACCATTTGGATAATGCAATTAGTACATGATATACTTGCAGGTACAATGAATGTCTGTTTTCTTTTCCTGCAAGCTGTCCAACATGTACAATTACAGCTGATTTTCTGGGTAAGAATATCATATCATAGCTCTTTTCATTTGTATTTCTTTCTCTTATCGGTGATAAAATGTCTCAATATTTTCATTTATTTGAAATTTTACTATTAACAAAATGTATTTAAAATTTAAATCAACTCTTTCCCTCATCTGTGTATAACTAAAGCTTAAACTATTTGTCTATTCTTTTCAGTTTTTTATTATTCTTTGTTTATATTTAATGTTTTGTTTATTTAAAGTTGATGGGTGCATACTTTGTGAAATTAGTGATGCAAGTCTATGAGAGATTGAATTTTAACCACCTTCCATCCAAATCTATCACTATGCTTATTTTGTTTTTCATTCTTAAAACAGTGGATATTTTCATTCCTCTCCATACAAAACTTATGCAACTATTACTTACAAATATTTGAAGAGCAAAATTTTATAATCCTACAACTCCTTGAAATGAACTACTTTATTGCTGGTTGGGTTGTCACTTATATTTCATATATATACATACACATGTATGTATGTATAAAATGTAATGTACATTTTTACAATAAAATCCTTATCATTTTCTTATCTTTTTTCAACTATTTTAAATAATCTATTGTGGATATAAAGGGTCTTACATGCATTAACACTGTTTATTATCCAATATTTCAAACTTCAAAATTTTCTCTGTGGGATGCAAGATGGCTCAGCAAGTAAAGGCACTTGATATCAAGCTTGTCAACCTTAGTTCAATCCCTGGAATCCTTGTAAACATAGAAGGAGAGAAATAACTCTGCAAAGTCGTCCTCTGACTTCTGTCACATGTTGTGGTGCATGACTACATCTACACACATACATCATGTACACAAACACAATAAAATTTTTAAATTCAATCTTTCACCTGCAATGTATGCTGTAATTTTCAATAAATGGAAAGTAATATGAGCCTTTCAAAACTCATCAACATATATTCCTAAAAACACAGCTTAGTTATTTTAATACATGAGAATGTTTATTGTCCTAACAGTCACTGCTGTCTGGCACACAGATGGATGTAATGCATTCAGTAGTTCATTCTTCTTCACAATTTCTCTTGTCATCCATGATTTTGTTTTTGTAATATATTTACTAGGCAATGTGATAGCATTTGCTAATATGAAACTTAATAATTATATAAGATATTTTATGCATTGCATTATCTTAATCTGAATTTATATATTTTTAAATGAAGACTGTATGTATGCATTGGAACTTGTCAAAATCTGTTCATATATTTCCTTTGATTTGGGTAATCATTGCTATTCTATGGTGATATTTTATTTGTGCTGAAATGCAGTGATATTTTATTTGTGCTTTAATAAATAAAGCTTGCCTAGAGATCAGAGGGAATAGCCATTATAAGTAAACAAAGAAGTCAGGCAGTGGTAACACATGTCCTTAATCCTATCACTTAGCAGGCAGGATCTCTGTGTGTTCAAGAACACTAGGGAACAGAGGCAAGTGTGATGACACATGCCTTAATTCCAACACTAGTTAACCACAGACGTCTGGAGGTCTATACAGACAGAAAGTGACAGGACTGTATAGGAAGAGGAACTGATGTGGCTGGGCTAAGAAAGCCAATGAGAAAACAGAACAGAAAAAGCATATAAAGGTGAGCATACAGGAAGAAGCTCTTTGGAAGCTGCAGAGTTGGTGAGGTAAGAAAGGCTGGCTGGTGGCTTTCCCTATTTCCCTGATCTCTCCAAGACTTTCACCCCTATAATTGGCTCTATGTTTTTTATTTAAGAAGACAATTTAGAAATGCATCTTCACTATTCTATGTGTAGATGGCCATATGTGTGTATCTATGTTTGTATATGCATGTGTTAAATAAATCTGATCATGCTAGGTATAAAAAGATGTGGTGTACATACTGACTAATAATCTACTAAAACCAGACATTTTTCCAGTTGCTGGGAGCTAGGTAATTCTCACCATATAGTAACACATTGACAGAATAGCACATTATGCTCATAGTAAGTGTTTCATTGTTTTGTGTCTTTGTGACGTTTTCAAATGCTGTGAAGAGACACCATAACCATAGAAACTCTTATAAAGGAAAACATTTAATTGAGTGTCTTACAGTTTCAGAGGTTTAGTTCATTATCATTATGGTAGAACATGGAGGCATGCAGAGAGACATGGTACTAGAGAAGCTGAGAGTTAATACATCTTGATCCATAGGCAATAGGAATTGAACAGAACTAGGCATAGCTTGATCATAGGAGACCTCAAAATGCACAGTAACATACTTCCTTTAATAAGGCCACACTTCCTAATAGTACACTCCTTATGAGCTTGTGGGGGCCACTGCATTGAAACCACCACAGTTTGTATTTATTTTGAATGTTGTGGTTGGACTGTCATTATTCCCTCTGGATAGACTACATTAGAACTACAGCGGTGCTCATTGGTGCAGGATGCAGTGAGCACTGGACTCTTCTCTGCATTTTGCTGCACAGAAGAGGTTATAGAGAATTAGAAGCAAATTACCAAGACTGAGAGAAAGCTGTTCTAATCTTTTCAGAATAAAAATGCCCAAGAAAAAGCAAAGTGAACATGGAATAAACAAGCAAGAGACTACTTACATAGGAACAGACTTGTCCACATCGCAAGAGAAGCAGAGACTCTCAAAGACACTGCAAATATCTGCAATGTGGAGAGAAAAACAGACAAAACAGGAACTGAAAGTTCACAGAGCACCATACCCACAGCACAGAAGAGGGTCTGTTCAGGGCCACAGAACAGGTATGGTAATATAAGTATTTTGTCAAGGATAGATCTTAACTCCTTCATGTCAGTGCTTATCTTCTCATAATCGTTAATTTGGCTCACTATCCTAATTGTCTATATTTTTAACATTTTAACTATTTCAGGATATTACCATGAAACAGATTAGTGCTTCAATAGTCTCTGTTTATAACCACTGAAATATCACTGACTCAAGTCTCAACCAAGATTTGGAGGGATGGAATCTTAAATGATGGAAGAGCTTTAAGGGTTGAGGGAGATATTGGAAGGGATAGATTGTGAGAGGGAATTAATAGATTATGAGAGGGGATCACAGAGTTATTTTGTTAAATTTACAAGGCAGGTCAGCTGTGAATTGGTGTTATATAGAATTTTGGGGATGTAGGCAACAGAGGCAAAGGTCAGTTTTAAGAAGTGTTTATATGTTTTGCAAGTGTAAGGATGAAAAGTTTCCATAGATCTAGGAGGTGGAGGACTGGGGTAGAAAGGCTGAAGCTTAAGGAATTGTTTGTACATAGGAGGAAGGAGGAAGTCTATAAGTGGCTTAGTATAAAGGAAGTTCTAGGATTCAATATCCAGTGTCCCATGAGCAGATTGTCCATGAGTGCAGAGATAAGGAGTGGAGGTGGGCAAAGTAGTTTATTGAGGTGTCTATGGGTTGGCATGGAGGGACAAAGGACCGCCTCTAAATAGAGAGGAGACTGATGTGGCCCATATGAAAATGGCAGTTTATAAAGAAAGAGGGAAAATCCTGTGTTAATATGAGGTGTTTAATTTTAATTGGGCATCTTACTTAGGTGAGCTAAGGGGGCCTTTTGATTGTTGGATTTCAATACTTTGATAGCTAGACATTAGTAGTCAGCCTAAGGAGGAGGGATTGACCAAATAAAGAAATAGACCTTGGGGATTAGCTGAAGGAATTAAATATAATGGTTTTTAGCAAGGCAGAAGGAATTGGGGAGAAAGGCAAGGTCTTCAACAGCCACAAGTTCAAATGGGCTAGTGTCCCTTCAACTAGAATTATATTACCTGTTGGAAATGTACACATAATTGTATGGAAGTTGTGAACTTTCTATTTATCCCACGTTGTTTTAAGAGTAATTACTGATGTTGTGGTTTTTTTAAAAAAAATTCTGTTCAACCTAATTGAGCCCCATAAACACAATGCACATTATGGGAAAAGTTGTAAGAACATTTCAGAAGTAAAATTTATGAGATTTCATATTTAAAGAGATAATAGAATTAAGGCTGAGAGGTTGAATATTGTTATAAAATAGTTTAGTGAGAGAGTTAGTTTAAATTTTGGGTTGTTTAGTAACCTCATCAGCCATGAGTACAAGGGTTATTACTAATGGTTTACTCAGTGAAAGTCAGAAGATGTACAAATGTCTCTTGTTAACTAAGAGGAAGATATTCATAAAGACATTGAGTTTAAGCTGATGATCACCATGTGAAGGCTGAGTCAGGTAGAAAGGACTAATGTGAGGAGAGGGGACTGGAAGTAGAAACTACTAGAATAAAACATTTACCTCAGGGAAGCAACTTAAAAGATTTGGACAGGGAAAGATTCAGGACAAAGAGACATGAATGTATGATGGGGGAGAAGAAGACAATAAAATAGATTAAAATAGGAAGAGAGGTCAAGCAAATGAGGTGAATAATCCTGCACTTCAACATGGAGAAGAAAAACAAGAGAGAATTGACAGGGAGGATGATGAAGCACAAATACCTGCACTGTCAAGCACACCAAGAAACTGTGAACTTCAGGACTGACCCCTGAAAGATTAAACTATGTAAGGCAGACCTGGGAGATGGGGAAACAACAGTCTTCAACTCCAAGAAGTGAGAAACTCACTCTTGTTTTCTTTTTTTTGTGTGTGTGTCCAGACCCTTTGTTGACAACATGGAGAATGCTAACTTTCATCCTAGGAACTTCATGCATTATTTTGGTAACAAAAGTGGGCTTCTTGATTCCAAACTGTAAGTAATTATAAAAAGAATTTGTTCTTATTATCATCAGCATATTATTCCTATAATAAGTCACCATGAATACTGAATTTAAAAATGCGCTAGCAAATGTATGCTAAGTACTACTTACTACTGATGTAACTTTTGTCACAGTGTTTTCTAGAGGAGAAAAGCAATGCAGAGAGTCCTCCTTTCTTGCTCTTCTATGTCCTAAGAATGATGGTGAGTGCTAACTTTGTACAATTTATTTCCAGCATTTCTAATTATTGGGGCAAAGTCTCTTCCTCAGATCCACATATCACACTGAAAACAATAAACAAATGCAGTGTTCTATATTCAATTCCTTCTCAGAAAAGAAAAGAAAATGACAATGTAGAATGTGAAAAAAATGTAAATGTGAGTACTGTCATTTTTAAAATTTTTGTTACATGTACATATAGTGAGTACAACTATGAGCCATTCACATTCTTTTTTCCCTTGTTTATATAGCTTGAAAATAAAATCAAATTAATTGGCATTAATTAATTCACCATAGACAAATGTAAATTAAAATTCCAAGAGTTAAGATTTCATACTATAAATGTGTTTTAATGTGAAAAGAGTGGCAGGTCAGAATATGGCCAGGATGGTAGAGAAGGAAGTAGAGTTTACCCACATCAAAACAACTCTACTATTAGACATTAAATAAGGGAAATGGAAACAATGTCCTTGGAGACAGCTGGGTCAGTAAAGTGCTCGCTGTGCAAGCATGAGGACCTGGATCTGATTCCCAGAACCCAGGAAAAGAAGCCGGGCAAAGCAGGTCTTGTAATCTCAACCCTGGGAAGTAGAAAAGGGTGGATCTCTGGAGTTCACTGCTTACTTGGTGAGTTCTAGGTCAGTGAGAGACCTTGTGTCAACGGCAACAAGCAAATCTCTGCTACGCCACCACCACCACCACCATCTACTCCTCCTCAGTATATATTCAGAAAAGGATAGGCCTTTTATGGATACCAACATAACAGGGCATATCTGTAGACGAATTTCTAAACTGTCTTGTTAAATAAGAAACACAGAGCCATATACAGAGGTAATAGCCGAAGAGATCAGAGAAGAGCCATGATTAGGCTTTTCTTACCACCTTGCTGCCATTGCTTCCCCAGAGAGAGCTTCTTCCAGTCTAAACTGTGTTTCTATTGCCTTCCTGCTCTGTTTTCTCATTGGCTCTAAGCCCAGCCACGACTAGTCTTAGCTTACCACCTCGCCGTTGCTTTCCCAGAGATCTTTCTGTCTAAACTGCGCTTTTATTGCCTTCCTGTTCTGCCTTCTCATTGGTTCTAAGCCCAGCCACATCACTTCCTCATTGCTGCCTGTCTATACAGACCTCCAGGTCTCTATGGTTGGTACTGGGATTAAAGGCTCATGTCACCACGCTTGTCTGTGTCCTTGATCACACAGAGACTCTGCCTGCCATGTGATCAGATTAAGGGCATGGACTACCATCACCTGACTTCTATTATGGCTCACTGACCTTTGATCTCCAGGCAAACTTTATTTATTAACATACAAATAAAATATCACATTTCAGCACAAATAAAGTATCACCACACATACCAAGTTGTAGTAAAACTAAGCACCTTGCTTTGTATTATGGCTGAGCAAAGCAACCCAGTATGAAGAATAGGGTTCCAAATGCCAGCAGAAGAGTAAGAAATAGCCCCTGCTCCCATTGTTAGGAGTCCACAAGAAGACCAGGCTACACAACTGTTCCATATTTGCAGAGGGCCTAGGTCACTCCCATGCAAGCTCCCTGGTTGGCTGGTAGTTCAGTCCCTAGGAGCTCCTATGCAACCAGGTTAGTTGATTCTGTGTGTTTTCTTGTGATGTTCTTGACCTCTCTGGTTCCTACAATCCTTCCCTTGTCTCTTCAGCAGGATTCACAAATTTCAGCCTAATGTTTTATTTGGATCTCTGCATCTGTTTCTACCAATGGTTAGATGGAGTCTCTCCGATGACTATTGGACTAGGCACCAATCCCAGCATACCCCATGGGCTGCATAGACTGCATGTCAAAGGTTATTTGGCTAGGTTGGTATCCCAAATCCTCCACTGGAAGTCTTGCAAGGTCATAGGAAGTAGCTAGTTCAGGCTACATGTCCTTTTTTGCTAGGATTCTTAGCTGAGGTCATCCTTGTAGATACCTTGGAGTTTCCTTTATACCAGGTTTCTACCTGACCCTGAAGTGCCCCCCACCTTCCAGTTGTCTTTTTCTGTACTCTCCCTACCAACACACCACCACCTAATACCCCATATCCTCATCCTCACCCGACCCCAGCCACCAATGAAATCACTTCTATCTCCTCCCAGGGAGATCTGACTGTCCCACTTCAGCCCTCCTTGTTACTTACCCTCTTTGGGTCTGTGGACTGTAATATCCTTTACTTTACAGCTAATATCAACTTATAAATGACTACATACCGTGTTTGTCTTTCTGGGTCTGGGTTACCTCTTTCGGGATGATTTTCCTCTAGTTCCATCCATTTGCCTTTGAAATTCACGATGTCATTGTTTTCAACAGCTGAATAATACTCCATTGTATAAATGTGCCATATTTCCTTTATCCATTCTTCAGTTGGAGGACACCTAGGTTATTTTCCAGGTTCTGGCTTTATGAATAATGCTGCTATGAATGTAGTTAAGCAAGTGACTTTGTGGAATGATTAAGCATCCTTTGGCCATGTGCCCAAGAGTGGTATAGGTGGGTCGAGGTAGAGTGGTTAACAATATTCTGAGAAACAGCCATATTGATTTCCAAAGTGAAGTACATTTTACTCCTATCAGCAGTAGAAGAGTGTTTCCTTTGCTCTTCATCCTCCTTAGCATGAGCTGTCATCAGTGTTTTTTTATCTTAGCTATTTGGACAGGTATGATGTTTTGGAATATTCCTTTATACTGTGTGAATATATTTCACTGTAATGGGTTTAATAAAGAAACTGACTGGCCTAGAGCTTGTCAGCAAGACATTGGGCAAGAGAACCTGACAAAGAGACTGCTGGCAAAAATGGTGAACTCTGGGAGTGGCTAACAGATGCAGGGAGAAGCAAAATTGGCGTGCCATATAGAGAAAAGGTACCCAGCCATGTGGCAAAATGTAAATAAGAAATATTGGTTAATTTCAAATGTAAGCATTAGCTAGTAACAAGCCTGAGCTATTGACAAAGGATTGACAATTGATACTTAGCTTCAGTGTGGTTACTTGGTAGTGGCTAACAAAATAGAAACTTCCACCTACAAAAGGGGGAATCTCAGAGTCCCTTTGATTTTCATGTCCTTAATGGATAAGGATATTGAACATTTCTTTAAGTGTTTCTCAACCATCTGAGATTCTTCTGTTGAGAATTCTCTGTTTATTTTTAAATGTCTGTCTATACCCATTTTCTTTTATTTTTTTTTCCCTCAGTACCATAGCCTATTCAAACATATTGAGATTTTTTTCAGTCTGGACCTTACTTTACTAAATGCATGCAGCATTCTCTGACTGTGTGAGACAAATCTTAAATTGTTTACAGGGGCCCCACAATGTGGCTTTGGGTTATGGCACTAGTGACTATCTCTACCCACTTTGATTCCCAGCTGCACCTAACTGTTTCATCTCTTGGAAGCTGCTGTGTCCACACTGTGGCAGGTATTTCTATCTAGTCTCCCCCTGCAGAGTTTCACATCAGCTGCTCATAGCAGGGTCTCTTAAATGAACTGTAGGGTTCCTTAAATGAGCCATGCCTCTTAAAGGAGCCAGGCCTCCATATGCTGCAAGCAGTGGGCTCTGTGTATGTGCCCCACAATGGACACTATTTATAATGAGTCTTTTTTCTGTCTTACCAGCCAACTCCCAAATAATGACATAGAGACATCGTATTCATTATGAAAGCTCAGCCTATAGCTTAGGCTTGTTCCTAACTAGCTCTTATAACAAATTAATCCATATTTTTTTATGATTTGAAGTTCTACCATGTGGGTTTTACTATCCTATTCTAAGTGTCTAAATCATTCCAGGTATGACTAGCTTCTCCTCTTCTGTTCTTCCTTAAGTCCTCCCAGTACCTGGAAGTCCTATCTGTCCCTACCTATTTGACATTCAGCTCTTTATTAAACCAACCAGAAGGCATCTTGGCAAAGACACATCTTCATAGTGTATAAAAAGGTTCTTCCACAACAAACTTGAGTTTTGTACAGGGTTATAGATACAGATCTACTTGCATTCTTCTACATGCAGACATCCAGTTAGACCAGCACCATTTGTTGCAGATAGTTTCTTTCTTCTGTTGTATAATTTTGCCCTCTTTGTCAAAACTCAGGTGTCTGTAGATGTCTGTGGAGTTACATATGGGTCTTTGGTTTGATTCCAATCATCCTCTTGTTTGTTTTGGGGGCAATGCCATGTGGTTTTGATTACTGTAGCCCTGTAGGAGAGCTTGAAATTGGGGATAGTGGTAACAATGGAAGTTCTTTTATTGTACAGGACTGTTTTAGCTATCCCAGGATTTTTTTCCATACAAAGGTGAGAATTTTTCTTTCAATATTTGTATTTTGTTGGGATTTTAATTGGGATGTCATTGAATCTGCAGCTTGCATTTGGTAAGATTGTCATTATTACTATGTTAATCTTACTAATCCATGCAGATAGAAAATCTTTCCATCTTGTGATATCTTCTCCATTTTCTTTCTTCAGAAATTTGAAGTTCTTGTCAGACATGCCTTTGACTTGTTTGGATAGAGTTATACCAAGATATTTAATAGTATTTGTAGCTATTGTGAAAGGCGTTGTATAGTGGTATTTGCTCTGCCCATGACCTTTGGGTATACAGCCCAAAGGAGGTGGTGTTTCCTGCCTCTTATAAGGAGTTGGAGAAGGATCACATGCCCTTTCTCCCTGCTCCTGCCTGCAAGGTGGATTCTCTCCTGGTCAGATTAGAGGACAACTTCAATTGTCTACTCTGTTCAGTATTCAGGAGTGTATTTCCTCAATTTATATCTTAATAAATCCTGTTACCTTTTTAATAGACTCATGAGGATTGATCATAATAGTGTTGTTTCCTGGATTTCCTTCTCAGCCCATTTATCATTTCTGTTTAGGGGTGCTACTGATTTTCTTTTTTTTTACTTAATCTTGTGTCCAGCCACTTTGAAAGTGATGATCAGCTGTAGGAGTTCCCAGGTTGAATTTTTGGGGTCACTTATATATA